ACCGCTCTTTTATTCTCTGCTCCAGTTTCTTACTGTTTTAAGGACGTGGCCTTGGAAGTGCCGTGGTATGGAAATGGTCTGAGGTGTGAGATGGAGTCACTAAGGGATTAGGGACCGGTCACTAAAATATAATGATAAAGAGAATCTATCAAATTACTATCACCTAATTTTTATGTCGTAAGTTTTATAAGTATTAAATAAATAATTACTCCCACTTGAAGTATTTTATTTAGTCCTTGTTAATGCTACAAAAATTAAAAGAACTAAAGGCAGTGTGGGCTATTTAAAGAGATTAAAAAAATGACTGCCCAGTAGTTTGTAAAAAAATAATTTTAAATATAGAATCATCATTTACATGGATTTTTTTTTCCTGCCAGGATCACTTACAGCACTGGATCCTGTATCAACCCCAGTGGTATAGCGCTCGTGATTGGTGTACACTGTACTGTGAGAACATTGCAGTATTCTCACTAGTGTACTGTCGTAGAATCATTTAGGTTGGAAGCGACCCTTAAGATCATAGAGTCCAACCATCAACCTAACGCTGCTAAAACCGCCACTAAACCATGTCCCTCAGCACCACGTCTACACATCTTTTAAACCCCTCCAGGGATGGCGACTCCTCCACTTCCCTGGGCAGCCTGTTTCAATGTTCGACAACCCTTCTGGTGAAGCAATTTTTCCTAATACCCATCCTAAACCTCCCCTGATGCAACCTGAGGCCATTTCCTCTTATCCTATCGCTTGTTACTTAGGAGCAGAGACTGACACACACACACACACACCCACCCTTGCTACACCCTCCTTTCAGGTAGTTGGAGAGAGCGGCAAGGGCTCCCCTCAGCCTCCTACAGACTAAACAACCCCAGTTCCCTCAGCCGCTCCTCATAAGACTTGTGCTCTAGACCCCATACTATATCAAGGTACCTTTCTGCAAAAAAAAAAAAAAATAAATGCTGCCTTGCACTACTTTTAAAAATACATCCAACTAGGATTTCAGTGGGCTGTCGGCAGTTCCCGGTTCTTACCTTCTTAGTTTTCCCTGTACAAATATTCCAGGCTTCTTGCTCTTCCCTTTTCCTTGACTCTAAACTTAAAGTGCCCATGGGCATTCCTCCATTCCTTGCACTTGCTTGGCTGTTAAAAGAAACCGGCGTGTTTATTAATGCAAGCCCAACACTGATTCATGTAATGGAGGCTTTGCTAAATGAATCCATATTTATTATGGGGCGTTACTGCTTTTCCTCCTGTTAAAACACGTTCTCTCTATTAGTATGGCTCAAACTGAGAAAATTACTTTCAAATCTGTTGTGTGGGTCCAATTCTTACTGTTTTTCTCATGTTATCAGATGATACAGGAAATCGACTTCGATTCCAGCTGGAGTTAGAGTTTGTTCAATGTCTAGCAAATCCAAATTACCTCAACTGTGAGTACTTGAAAGCAAATATCAGGATCTGGAGCAATGAATATAGTTTAATGGTGTTTATTATTACTGGTAATGTTAGACAGGGAGAGAGCGCTAAACAAATAAAAGGGAACGGGTCTTTCACAGAATAAAGGTAGTCTGTAAATAATATTTCTAGATTTTTAACAGGTGGGGGTTATAAATTGCAAAATGTTTTATTGGTTGAAATGAAAAAAATATGCATCTGTCTGGTGGAGAAAAAAAAAGAAGTTCAGGTCTGTGGTTAAACCGTAATGTCAAGTTAACAGTATTCCTTTATCTGAAGTTTACTAATATTAATAATAGTTTCAGGTGCTATACTGAATTTTCTTCAATTTCCTGCCAATTTTGATGCTAGTCAAAATTTTCTGTTCCAAAAAGCTGTTCTCTTCCTTGCTGTTGTATGGAAGACACCTACCATAATAGAGATTAGACTAGTTTATTATGCCTAGTATGTTGACATAAAATGTATTTTCCCTGTGTGGTTTTTTTTTTTTTATTTTGAATTGTCAAAATTTTATTGTCATGATAAAGTTTTGGCTAAAGTGCCTCTTCATATAGTTTTGTGAATACATATTCTTCAAGTTTGGCAGATTTTTTTCACACATCTGTAACTGACAATTCCTTATTTGTCATTTTATTTCAGTTCTTGCACAAAGAGGCTACTTCAAAGACAAAGCTTTTGTAAACTATCTTAAATATTTACTTTATTGGAAAGAACCTGAATATGCAAAATACCTGAAGTAAGTGTTAAGTTAAAAGTAAGGTTTCTGCATTTTGATGATTTCATATTTACCTTGTGTTATGTACTGTACAGCAGCATGTCAGTATTTGATTTCTGCCTGTAACCTTACCTGTGTTTAAATGCAATATAAATTTTCCTGTTCCAAACAGTCCAGATGTAGCAAGAATAGACAAAATTATAAAACTTGTCTTTCATGAGTTGTGCATGGGATCTTCCTTTTGCAGCCTGGATCTTTACTTTACCATTTGTTCAAAATAAAACTATTGAACATTATGGTACAGAACTACTTCAGTTAGGCCCAGTAAGTACATTTTAAAAGTGATTTTGCATTGTTAATGCTTACATGAAACAAAGGATGACTTTGCATTTTTGTGAGTGTGCAAAATCCTTCAAATTTTGGGAGAAAAGTTCTTGATTATGTTCTTTAAATGAGCTCTGGAAACAGATATGGTCATTGTTATGTATTTTAGTAAAATCTAGCCATTAGAGAAGCTACTCTAAGCAAGCATGTATATCCGTTTATAAACTGTTATAGGACTCCTGGTTTCCTAGCCTGAAGTTATTAAATTACGGTGTGTGGAATACCTACAGTCTTAAGTGGCTTAATACTTGAGTAAAGCATATACATGATAAAACTAAAATAACGAACCACAGAATTACTGGGGACTCCTGTTTTAGTGTACCGGTACTAAAGTATGTTTATTTTTAATCCAGGTATCCTCAATGTTTGCATATGTTAGAGCTGCTCCAATATGAACATTTCCGCAAAGAACTGGTAAATGCTCAGTGTGCTAAATTTATTGATGAGCAACAGATTCTTCACTGGCAGCACTATTCACGGAAAAGGATGCGCCTCCAGCAAGCACTTGCAGAGCAGCAGCAACAGAACAACACCTCTGTAAAATGAAAAACACTTGGAAGAGTGATGATAAGGTGTACTTTGTGTTAGTTAAAGTATTTACAAGAGAGGAATGAATGCTTCTGTGAGTTTGGCTCTGGGTATGTGTACATTGAATTTTTGATTTATCAAGTGACTGGGTTTGTTTTCTTTTGTCAACTTTTAACACCTACTTCAGCAATTTTATTTTGTAGCATGCACAGTTTTGTAAGAACATTACTTATTGTAGTTACTGATTCCTCTTGATTGTGAAAACAAAACATAGTTTTGAGGGCACTGACATTTAAGTATTTAACCCAAAAGTGTAGCTCAGAAGTCCATTCTTAGGAGGCAGTTTCCCTGGAGAATAACAACATGTCTCAAAGCATGGCTAAGAACTCCCTCATGCACTACTTTTTACAACTGCAGGATGAGTAAAGTTGAAGTGATGATACTGTACAAAATCTAAATTGTGGATTTTTGCCTTGAAACCAAGCTGAGCTATTACTTGTCATTTGTTTACCTGGTAGTCATTGTTGCTGGGGGTCTCAGAGTTCTCCTTACAGCATGTTTTAGAGCTAGAAATCAAAGTGGGACAAGACAAGGACTGCAGCAATGGAGCAGAGATAAGTAATAAACTTTGCAGATACTCAACAGAAGGAAATAGGCTGTAGCTGTACCTATTCCATTAAAGTCAGCTTGCTTTAATTTTGGTTTTCTGCCAGTGAAACAGTGGCTGCTCTTAGGCTTCTCTATAGTACATGCAGTGAAAACAATTTGTGTTACAAAAAAGGGTGTAAACACTTGCAGTATTGGCGAAGAATTTGCCATTTATTCCTGCATGTTTTTTATTGTAAGAACACAGATCTTGGCTGCTCTCAGGGATTTAATTTTCTTACTTTTTTTATATTGTATTCATGCTGCATTCATGGTGTATTTCGTATTCTTGTAGGAGCAGGTACTGCAACTGTTAACCCTTAACGTGATCAGTGACACCAGGACTGTCAGCCTTCAGCTTATCATACTCAGACTGAACAGATAAGCCATTAAACATCTCTGGCACTGAAAATTTATCTTAACACCTTCAGTGGCTATGTAAAGTCAGATTTAGGAAGAATAGCATGTTTCTTTGTTTTTCCCACCCCACCCCCCTTAGTCACTATTAAAGGTATATAACTTAGGAGTTAAGCCTTAACCCTGTAGTAATTATAGGCTGCTCTCTGTGTGTAACATGAGCACAGCTCCTTTGAAAAGAGACTGTTTGCAAACTCAAGTTTATTTGAACATGAGAGGAAAGGTACAGTTTTTTGTTGCAGGATTTTAGCAGAAAGTTTGGACCTAGAATTTAATGACATTTATCTTGACTGGTCTGAAGTAATTAACCATGGAAATTCTAAAAAAGGTTAAGGATTCCTTGGAAGGACACTGGAAATAACTTGAGATGAACAGCTTCGTAAATGATTGACTGCTGGAGGATTTAGTCTTCAGTAAACAACATACGCACAAGCTCTGCTTTAAAACATTCTTCTTCAACCAGCTTCTGAGGCTGAAAGAAAAGTTAAGATGTTTTAAGGGCAATTCAAAAACCTGTTCTAGACTACAGCTTTGTACGTACTAACGTTAGCCATATCCCAGCAATTGTTTTTCTGGGGAGGGTGGGATGTGGGGCGGAGCAAGCAAGGTAAGAATAATTGAGAAATTCCTGAGGGTTTTCTGGCCTTGGAAGAGGTGCTTCTAAGAGAGTAACTGCTAATTTAAATAGCATGCACAAGTTGAAATTTGAGCTGTAGTCTGTTTGAACTAAGAGTATACTGCACATAACCTTGTTTCACTGCTGTAATTCAGCATTTGGATTTTTTAAAATTTGAGGAGCTGCAAGTCAGGAAGCTAACAATATGTTGCTAAGAATTTTCTCTACCCCTCAACCACTACATGCTAAGTGTACATATTTTCTTTAATATATGTTTACTATAGGCAACATTATACAGAAAGCAGGGTGGTTCTCTCTTTGAGCCAGGAAGAGTGCATGGGTGGGAGCAGGAGAGCTGTTCCTAATAGTCTGCTCGTTTTAAACGAGAGGGTATCAAAAAACACGCACGACATTCATTTACAGCCATGAGCTCCTGCCAGTTTCCCATTTGAATGCCTGTAGATCCAGAATATATAATAAATCACTTACTGTTCCGTATTTAAGTAGTGTAGGCACTCCTGTTAGTTTCAGATTCTTCCTGAATTCATTGTTGGGATCTTTCCAGCTGTTCAGAAAGAAGGGGTTAAGCACAGCTCGCAGAGCTGCAGTTTGAAGTTAGCCTGTTAAAATTCCTTTGAAAGGATGATTCAAAGGTCTTTGCCTCATGCCTTCCCAACCCACTTCTCAGAACAAGCATGCAGATAGTTCCCATTAGGACTGGTGTAGACCACAAAACTCAAAAAAAAAAAAAAAATTTAATTCCTTGCAGAAAAGGACAGTTCAGTTATTTGTTCCAACAGGTTAGTTAACCGCCAGTCCACTAATAGCAAAGTTATATCCATTGTTGTCATTAAAACAGTAACTTACTAGGCTCTGTCTCCGACTAGGCAGTAGATGAATACAGACTCGTCAGGCATGTTATGAAGTTCCTTCCTCACAACTGGTTCAGCTAGAGAGTAATTGTTAAGATCTATTAGTAGTTAATACTTTTACTGTGCTACAGAATCACATGGGCCTACTTTGATCAGCAAGGCAGCGAATTAATATTTTGTCTGCTTCTGGTAAAGATCTGTATTTTGTTTCAGCTGGTTATCCACAGGCTTTGCAGAGTTTACAGGCTCAATGCTGAAAGCACTGCTCTTTGAGCAAAGGGCAATTTCTGCTTTGAAGAATAAGAAAATTAATCATTGGCCCCTGTCTGTATGAAGGCCCATCAGAACAGCATAAGCAGTTGCCGTGTGCACTCTGGCATCTATGATCTAGCAAGTTCAGTGCAGTGTTTTCAGAGGAACTGCCTTCACCCTCTCCTGCCAGGCACCGGTGGGGCACTTCTGCCTCCTCACGAACAGAGCGGAGGTGAACTGGCTGCTCCCGAGATTCTCATCGAATTCTCCGATGGGCTTCTGCTGAACAACGCGTTACGTTACGCGCCGTTCGGTGGAGCGCGGCTAGCAGAACGGCGAAGGTGG